AACTAAGTTGAAAGAATGGGTAAAAGCACAGCAAGAAACTGATATGTCATTGCAAGAAGAATGGGCCATTGTTGAATGACAGATATTAAACTGGGTTTCAAGCGAAAATCAATTGCCTAATGCCTCGTTACCTCTCAAATCGTTGGCAAGATGAGCTGAAAAAAATCTGTTGAAGCGACGTGGAGAAGAATTGAAGAAAGAATTTTTCGCGAAATCTTGGAGGCCTTCATCTAGCAGTGGATGGAAAAAGGCTGATGATCATCATAAAGAAATTTTCTGAAAATTATCAATGCCAATTAAGTCAATCTGTTTCATGCTTTTGTCTTCAAGCAACATCTTCGTTACGTGTAACATGTATCATCGGTATAGCATAACATGCCTTGTTTTCTCACATTCCTGAACCTGCGAATTTTTCTAAATATTAACCTCGCCACATATCATTTAATTCCTGATAATCCACTGATACTAGCGAAAACTCTGCATGACAAAAAACTTCATAGATTTACAAATTGCACTGCTTTATGTTTTCAGCATTAAAGACTTTATCCCAGATGAATCACATGATTGAGAGGAGTTTTGCATAGTTTCAGTACGAAAACCTTCATGTAATCGGGATGAGCAGTGGAGCAGAGGGAAATCGTTTCGCTCAGCGCCATACAGATATTAGTTCGAATCCCACTGTGGCATCCAATTATCTTACTAGCTGCCAAGTACCTTGAGAAGGAAATGTACCCCACGGTACTGCGGTGGAACCAGTTGAGAAACGAGTTCGGATCTTGCGAAAAATTGGAGTACCGTAATGCTGCTGTGCAGTCGCTCCAGAGCGCGCAAGACACAAGCTGATGATGTCAGATGTTGCTGCTTTACGACTGTAATGTGCTTTCACTTACCCGAAAGGTGACTAAAATCAGCAAGACCCATAACCTATAAATAAAGGAAAAGGTTGAAACTCCTCGAATCCCTAACCTGATAGATAACAACTGATGGCTGTGGAAGTCAAACGATCAAAGAGGAGCGA